TGCCTCATCATCAGTCAATAAATTTCGTGGAAGTAGAAATCAGAGAATAAAACCTATTTGTTCATCTGAGAATTGTGGACTGAAATCTTGGATCATATCACAGTATACAGCAGGGTGGACAAGATTTTTGCAACAGGTGTCAGGTTTGCGAAAAATATTTACAGTGTTACAAAAGCAAAAGTGGAAAACAGTAAGCCTCATGGCAAAACTAAATTTAATCTCATTGAATTCCTTGAACTATTTTTCAGCTGAAGTTCAAAATTTGGTTTTAGTTTGGTTGTGGCATCAGGCGGGCCTGACTGAATTACCCAGCGGGTCGGATATCACCCGCCGGCCGTAGTTTGCCCATGTCAGATATGCAGCATTAAAGTTTGAAGTACTTGAGAAATATTTTGCAATAATCAAAATAAATCTATGTACTTACTTATTTCAATGTAATTTACCTTGCAAGAGTGGTGATGGACCCTTCTAGAAAATGTTGTGCCCACTATACGTCCGCTATCTCGCTTTAAATAATTCTACTTTACATTTATAAAGGTCGAGCCCAATTTTGGAAGACTATGATTCTTTTTAAAAACGCTTGTTTTGTCTCTTTTGAATGAGCCATGCATCTGTTATAAATGCTAAAGCAATGGTTCTCATCCATTTTTTCTGTTGTGGCCCATTTTGTTGCACAAAAATTCCGTGTCCTATTAGCACTTAGCTGAAAAAACAGTGGTATGGCCATTGCCAACTTATTGACAACAGGTGGACTAAGTCTTTTCAAAAAGCTACGTAATTGGCTATGGTAATTGTATCGTGGATCATATTTCACTTTTTAAGTCACTCCAGCATCAGCATTTGAAAGGAATTTTTTATACAATTGACCATTCGCACATAAACTTTTTATTTTTTAATGCTGGTAGAAAGCTGATGTCGAACGCCATACAGTCCGCTCTGGATGATCAGAGAAGTGGTTTTGAAAGTTATATCGCCAAATAGAACTCTAGCATACGTTCGTAAATAGCCATGAGTGAATCTCTATGGCCTAACAGTTAATAAAAAATAAAAAAAATTGAAATTGAGCAACCAAAATAAAAAAGAATATTTAGTTAAAAACTGCCTCCTTTATAACTGCAAACTCTTTACAGGTATTAACGTGTTGTATCGTTGTGGTTAATTAATTTATAGATACTGTGACATATTCGTGATAATATGACGGATTGTGTGGGGATCATATTTCACTTTTTGAATCGCGACACATCCGCCAACCACGCACGTTAAAAAGAAGTTAAAAATTGCCTCCTTTATAACTGCAAACTCTTTACAATTAAGAACGTGTTGTCTCGTTGTGGTTAATTTATAGATGAAGCGACATATTCGTAATAGAAGGACGTATAATATTATATTCAGCGTTATTCGTAACCATTGTAAGATCTTTGGCTATTGAATTTTTTTACATAGAATAGTCTTTATACATATTTGTAAGATACATTTTTTTTATCACGCTATTCTTGGAGTAACATAATAACATTCACATACTGCAGAAGGTATTTTAGGATCGTTTGTCCGTCAAGACACACGATAATTGCACGTCTGAACCTTGGCAACGGCAAAAGTCAGGTAACAATATGCTCTATTGGGCTTGCCCAGACTCGAATAGGCGCATATAGAGTAATGTATGCTTCCTGTTTTCAAACACAAAGCAGGCATAAAACTGATTCAAGGTAAATTTTTGAGGTATGTTATTAAATTCACTTGCCACCCCTATTGCAAACCATTGATAATTCTAATAATTTATTTGATTTCAACATAACCAACGCATCTCAAACGCAAGCCTTTTTTTTCAGGTTGAACTTAAATATATTGAAACCTCGAGATGAAAACATCAGTCATTTTTATCTTAATCTCTGTCATCGCTTCATCCTGGTGTCAAGGGGAAACGGTGTTTCACTGCTCCCCCAAACCCGGTTGCCAGATTGCACAATATGATCCGGTTGCTGTAGGATGAGACAGACCAGGTTTTAACATTGATGAACATCTGCATGACAAAGAGTTTCCGATTACCTGCAGATCTAAGAATGAAGCACAATTTCAAAATACTGGCAACATGTTTTTGCTAATAGCCAGAAATATTTTGGGCAAGCATTAATTTTATTATTTAATACCTCGATTCGGTCTCATTTATCCATAATCTTAATATATACAAGTTGAGTTTTCTACAATTATTGTATAATCAAACAGATTCAAAATCTGATATTATAAATTTTGATTTTATCTGCATTGCTTTCACTCAATGGTTTCGGGTTCCGTGAAAGTGATCAGTACTGCACTGGAACACAGCGTATTGTAACTTTATGCTGATTATAAAGTGTCGAATCGTAGAATAAATATTTGACGACTCATTTTCTGTCTCTTTATTTTATTTTCACATTATGAAACCTAGATAACAGTGTAAACAAAATGTCGGGGCTTACGAAGGTATTGACTTGACAACACAATTCGAAGCTTAAATTATTCACTCACTGCATTTTATTCCTACAAAAATCTGGAATATTGTCTTTTCTTAAACATTGTTTTGCTGAAATAAATCTCGCTCAATGAACATGAACCTTATCTAGTGGTTCTCAAACTTTTTAAGCCGCGCCCCCTTTTAGAAGTTGTCTCGGGCATAACTACTAATAAGCTAAAATAACATATATTAAGGCAAAAGTATCTTTCATTTATCCGCAGTGAGAGAGGAATAAAGAGTAGGCCAAGTCAGGAATGCTTCAAAAAAATATTGGGAACCACTGCTTTATATTAAGATGTGCATCGTCTGTATACCACAGATATTCAAGTGGCAAATATAATACGATTTAATATGAACGCTAAGGAGCAATTTTGCATTCCACGGCAATCAAATACAACTTCAGGCACATCGAAATATAACCATGCGCACAAATCCTTCATTCTTCCGATAGACAGATAAATTGGTAATTACTGTCACTTGGCCATTAATTGTGATGTGACAATAATACGTTATTTACAGATTTTTGGGGATGTCCCAGGTTTTTAAATGTTGTCTGCACTAAAACAAAATTATTTTAAACACACAACAGTAATCAGATCTGAGGGTCCGCGATCGAGTCTGTGATCGATTTACTTACGATTTTGGTTGTCTATTTCAAAATTGAATAGCGAGTACAACTGGTGTGTAGAAAAAAGAACAGGGCATGGTTTGAAGCTAAATGTGATATTACTTGTATTGAATTTTGGGTGCTCCCGCAGTATGTGAATCAAGATGGCGGACACCGGAACGTAGTATGTGTACCAGGTTCGGGTTAGGCCATAATTTGATTCAAATTGTTCTTATTTTAGTTCTATTACGAATTCGGGGACTAGCCAAGTGACTTCCGTAGTATTTGCACCAGGAATTGGTCTAACCCTAGCCTGGTACACATGCTACGTTCCAGTGTTCGCCATCTTGTTTCACATACTACGGGAGTACCAAGTTTCGTCGATTATGTTACAACCAATGCTGCAGCTTAAACTCCCAAATAGAGATAATCGACATGAAAAAACAACTTTAAAACATATAAAATCATGCCTTATTTTATAGAATATTAATATGTCTGTCTTGAACACTCTGTGATAATTTACATCAATTTTATCTCATTAAATCCATTACTAGTCGAACATCAGCAATAAATGTTATAAAACAGAAAATAACTTTTGCTTTGAATTATTTGATTTTCTCATTCATATATCTGATGCAATTCACAAAGTTGGGATTTGTTGGAATCCGTGAAGTTATTTTATCTGGATTATGCAGCTGTTTATTGATTTTATAGTCGAGTGTTATTTAAACTTTTTTCATCACGACCCACTTTGGTAGGGCCAATTTTTTTTGCGATTTCAGGAACTGAGATAAAAAAAAAAAAGTAAAATTTAATAATACCGATAGTATTAAATAAATAATAAAGTTGACAATACATTTAATGAGACCGATGTGCTTGCGCATTCTCACACAAAAGATAGAATCTTAGCTTTATTTCCGTGATGGGTCTCAGTACTGCTTCCACATTAAAATTGATCGATATTGCCTTTTTTATAGAATAGTTATATTCTGTCTTGAACACTCTGAGATAATTTACATCATTTTATGTCATTAAATCCATTACTAGTCGAACATTAGCAACACGTGATATAAAACCGAAAATAACTTTCGCTTTGCATTATTTGATATCCTATTCATATCTGAATGCACATCACAAAGTCGTTTATTTGTTGGAATCCGAGGGTACGAAACAGAAGTTATTTATACCTGGTTTATGGCATTTTTTTGTTAATTGAACACTGAGTGGACATAGAGATTGTTTAGTTATTATGTGTTGTTGTTGTTCCTAATAATATTGCTATTTTTTCTCTTCGTATAGTTTTTTGAAAAAATCTATGAATCTTTATTTGAGCATCGTTCTTATGTTATATAGTACAGTTATTCACGATGACCATTTCATTCCAGGTTAATCTGTGGCACTAGTGAGATTTTCCTTAAAATAAGGCGACAAGCTAAATAAACTGAATAAATGATGATAACTCAATATACTACGGATACACATAAAATAAAACTATGCTATAAATTTATTTTCAAATTAAAAAAGACTGGCCATCAGAGTTTTTCTCAGCGATTACTGAGGCAGTTGGAAATAGAAAGAAATATTTGAATATGCTAATAAAAAAAAATCTTGGTTAGATACGAAAGATACAAAATGAGATTTAAGCCCTAAGCCGATTGAGGAAAGAAAGAAAATAGATTTAAGAAGCTTCAGTCTAAGAAAATAGAAATAAATAATCAACCTATTACTAGAGTAAAAAATAGCTACGTCCAGGAACTCCGAGGTCGAGGCGAACTCGGTTGATTGGTCGGAGTCTTGCCAGTGGCCAAAATATCTGGTACAGTTCATATAATGATTTAAAATATTTTTCCATTTGAACAAAAATGTTGTTTTGAATTATACGTTTAATACTGAGATTGGAAAATGGACAACGCTGTGCGAGAAGACAGAGGGGGAACAGGTATTCTTTATTTTTTCTTTTTGCAATTATATGTTCGGAAACATAGTCATTCTCAAATTGACGCTCCAGTAGTATGTGAACCAAGATCGCGAACACCGGAACGTAGTATGTGTATCTTGTTGGGGTTAGAACATAATTTTATTCCAATCTGCTTTATTTTAGTTCTATTAAGATTTCGGGGACTAGCCAAGTGACTCTCGTAGTATTTGTACCTGAAATTATGGCCTAATCCTAACCTGGCGCACAGAAAGTAATAGGCGTAAAAATTGGCATGTATACGTCAAACATATTTGTATGGCGGCATAAATACACTAAAACGATAGTTGACATACAGGAAATCGATTGTCTATCCTCGACTTGCTTCACCTTTTCATATAATATTTTCTTACTTGAAACTGTTTTTGCAACTATAAAAATCGTTAAGTGTTCGTTATATATTTCAAGAATTCATTTGAAGTCCACTTCAAATTTGTTATATTTCACAGTATTGAGAAACAGTTGTAGGAAACATTCTATGTTGATCGTTTTACTACTTCTCATCCTTCTTGGATTGATGTTGGGATTAGTTATTCGTAAGTTGAACATTTTGAATTAAAGTACTTTCTACAATAAGTAGACAATGATCAAATATATAGGCTATATAACTATATATAGGCTATACAAAACCGTTTCAGGTATGGGGATACCCCCCCCCCCCATCCAAAAAAAAACCGGAACCCAGTCCATTTGGAGCATATTATATGGGTTCAGTTTTTTGGGTCCCCCTGTAATATACAAGCGTTTCCTTGAATAAAAATGAAACGTCACAATATTAGGTGAAGTGAGTGGCGAATAGGATCCGACGAAATTCCAAAAACATGAGTGAAATCAACCATCTTTAAATACTGAGAATTGGGATTTGATTGGCCCATCAGTTACAAAGAAAATTGGTTACAATTTCTCACAACAAAGACAATTTTGACTTTATAAACTTTAATTATAAAGTTGGCACACTCGCCTTTAGACTGCCCTACCCCACACAGTAAGACAATAAGAGTATTCGTGCAACTTAATACAAAGAAGGTTTCAATATAAAAAATAAAATAAATTGACACGTCAATATGCAAAATTTAACACAAATACATACATGTACAGTATGTACATGTAAGCTCATATATACATGTAAGCTCATCATTAGTGTCGCATTTGAACTGTTGGTTATGAAACTTAGTTGAACATTTTGTGTTTGATGTCAAAGATAGTGACGAATAGGGGAGTCTTTTCGCTTACAAAAGTTTCGACAAATTTTTCTTGGCAAAGTGTTGCTTTGTTTGTGGCTCCTCTATGTTGTATACTGTGTTTATAAATAAATCAACTCCGGTTAGAGATGAACAACCGATAAGCATATATACGCAGTTAATTTTTGAGCGCAAAGGAAATTGGGTACTCCCGAAGTATGAGAACCAGGATGGCGAACACCAGAACGTAATATGTGTACCAGGTTACGGTTAGGCCATAATTTCAGATACAAATACTATAGGAGTCACTTGGCTAGCCCCCTAACTCGTAATAGAACGAAAATAAGGAATATTGGGATAAAATTATGGCCTAACCTCAACCTGGTACACATACTACGTTCCGGTGTCCACTCTTCTGATTCACATACTTCGGGAATACCGGAAGTTGTATGTCACAAGATACTATGAATCAATCACATTTGTTGCTCTAGCTCTAATTTACTAAAGTTCACAGTACTTGCAAGAGCTTTGCCTTTGTTAACTCTAATATTTCCACAAGCTCACAGTCATTGTCACTAAACAGCAGAAAAGAGAAAAGAAATCGATACTTAGAGACGTTTATTTCTTCACCTTGAATAAAAGATAGCTGTTAGTCGACGCCAATCGTTGGTACATACGCAAACGCGCAAAGACAGTAAAAACCACTAAAAAACTTGCCAAAACGTGCAAAAACAGTAAAAAGTTGTCAAAAACCACTAGAAACCTTGCCAAACGTGCAAAAACAGTGAAACCCGCCAAAAACCATTAGAAACCTTGCCAAAACGTGAAAAAAATACGCAAAAACAGTGAAAACCCGTCAAAAACCACTAGAAAGCTGCCAAAACGTGCAAAGACAGTGAAAAGTCGTCAAAAACCAGCAGAAACCTTGCCAAAACGCGCACGAAAAGTAAATATGGATGGTTATGTTATTATGCTGTTGTTAGTATTAGCCTACTCTTTTTATTGTCGTGAAAACATTGCTTTTCTTGTTAAATACTGGACCAATTGTTTGAAATTTCCATTAGTTGTTGAAAATTGCATTTTTTGCTGGAAGGCTATTTCTTTATTTATTTCTAAAATCCATGTGATCTTTTTTGTGTTTGATTGAGTTTTTTTGTGTTTGATGACGTAATTTAATATGGCGCACCTTGTGTCTGTTCCGCGGGCAAAGTCGTCAAGCTGCGGTATAAGTATTCTACTGTGACATATTGCATATCGTACTACTTCATTTTGGCTTTCGTGTCCAAATAATTGAGCATTGCTCTCATGTTGGATAGTTTTGTTATTATTTAATTAATATTTTTAATTTGGTAGTACTGATATAAAATTATTTTAGTTTATTTCAGTTTACCAGACGAACACGCAAGCGATGAACAACATTCAAAGTGCATTTGATGAGGGGCAAACAAAGTTGGATGTGTTGAAAACTACTATAAATCGTATGAAATCTGTTGTGAATTCTTTTTCCACAGGTAAACTAACTTATACACGTTTGATGTTTTTGAATTAGCTTATCGTGCAGTATAAGGCGTCAGCGTGCCACGGTTTGAAATTTAGATTGAACTGATTCTGAAATAGATTTTCATCATGCAATATTCGGTAGGACTCCTGAAGTGTGTGAATCAAGATGGCGGACACCGGAACGTAGTATGTGTACCAGGTTACGATTAGGCCATAATTTTGAGTACAAATACTACGGGAGTCACTTGGCTAGTCCCCTAACTCGTACTAGAACTGAAATAGGGAAAATTGAAAAAAATTATGGCCTAAACCTAACCTGGTACACATACTACTTTCCGGTGTACGCCATCTTGGTTCACATACTTCGGGAGTAACCAATCATCAATGTAATTGTAAAGTATATAATAAAACTAACCTCATAGCAATTCATGAAAGGGTCGCGTAAAAGTCATCCAGTCAGAGACACCTTGTTTGCTTAATTCAAGTAGCAAAAATAGGGAAGAAACAATTTTATGAGAAATTAATTAAAATACACAATTATGAGAAGAACGAAAGAATTCTTGAAAACCTAATTATTGTGTTCAACTGCTTGGTAGCGTTAAAGTTAACCTTCAAAATTGCGATGCAATGTTATTAGTTTCAAACTTATTTCTTACCTTAAAAATCATAATATGCATTATCAGGTATAAACTTAGTATGCTATATTCAAAGTTACAGAACCCAGTTTGATTCTGATCTCATATCCTCGAAAACGAAAATTTTGTCTAAAGCAGCGTTTCCAACTTTTTTGTTCGCGGATTATTTTCACGGCAAACCAGAAAGTACAACTTGATTTAGTACTTATTAAAAATATATTTAAAGTTTAATAGTAAATTAAAAATACAATCATCGCCTTGCTTTATCATAATTTAATTGTGATCATTTTAATCTGCGGTTGTGTTGACGAAGTAAAGCAATACTACTCAGAAAATATCGTGACAATCCGTGGACACAATGCGATTACATTTTGTTTTAATTCGTCGTTTTTGTGAATTCGACAAATCTGAGTTGTTCGTACAACACTTACGGCGCTCCAGCACTGTACGTACTAATGTGAAGGCGGTAATGCAAAGAATCCTAAGGGAAAATGCACTGGTACGTATACTTTTGGCACCCGAAATTTTGCGATTCGCAATGTCGAAAAAAGGCGTTTTAAATCGGTCGCGTACAATCATAAAACAAAACTTATGCTATTCTCCGTTTTATGTTCCGGGTCGACCCCCCGCCCTTTTGAAATGTGTAAAAATGACGACTAATAGACGCGACTTGCCACGCGCCGAATAAGCGCATAAAACGTCATGGCTCCGGATGCCGTCAAGTAGAAGCGATGTGATTGTGACTGAATAGGGCGATTTATGGACCTTTCCCCGACCTTTGACCCCCGTAAATTTCTTCCTATACTTTACCATCGCAAAATTTTCGGTGCTTATTTAAAGAGTGGTTTTGCGAGTTGGCGCCTGTAAAATGGGGTATTTTGCTTCAAACCATTATTCTGATTCATAGCATTCAACAATCTGTTTTTTAAAAGTACCGGTGAAGAACTTTAGCCTAGTCTATTGCAGCTATTTCTACACTAATTTTTTATTACTGCAGTTAAACTGAAACTTCTAAGAAGACAAAGTGATCATTGAATTATTTGATTTATATTTAAATATCCGAAACAGAACTAAAAATTAACGAATAGATTTCAAAAACGCGCAAAACGAGGTAATGTTTACGACTACGCCTGAAAATCAGTCTGAGCGAGAAAAGTGTCTGAGCGGATGCGAAACCACGTCACTCTTTGCATCTTGCTGATTGGCCAATGTCCCGAAGTAAACAAGGAAGTCGATGCTCGGGGAAACATCCATTCAGTCCGCAATTTCCATTTGATGCCCTTAATCCTAACATATTCAGTTTCGATTTCTAGAAACATTCTGTATCACACATAGCAATTTTTAGAACATCAGTTCTCTTAGAAACTCGCGTTTTGCGGCCTCCGGCCAGACCACCTGTTGCTGTCGAACTTGGCAATCACAAATTTCGGCGCTCCGAAAGTATTCGTACCAAGCTGACGCACAACCTGAACCCTAACCGGGGACACATACTATTTTCAGGTTGTGCGACATTTCGTACACACCTAAATTTCAGACACCCCCCTTTGAAAATTCCTGGCTACGCCCCTGCTGTGCAGACTCGTGTTTTCGTCGAAAATCCGCCAAGCTGAAATCCAATCGTTTGATTAAGCGACGCACGAGTGACCTGTCCGCCACTTGTTACCAATTTTCGAATAGTAATTTCTATTCTAATAGTAGAATATTCGAATATTTGCCCAGCACTACTCAGTAACCATTAATTATTGACTCAATTAATGATATGTGAATAAACTTGCTCTTTATGTTTTGTGTAAATTCTAACGTGAATCGTAACTTGGCTGATAGTTAAGTTTCGCAAAAACGTTTACGGCCCGCAGTGAATTTCTGGCTCGTTGCGGACTCATTCAACCGCTCCGCGGACTCATTTGAGACCGCGGACTCGGGTTGGGAAACACTGGTCTAAAGTAATTTCAAACTATGATTACATGATTATCCATGTTTTGTATGTGCTTTATATTTTCATATTACGGGAGTGCTACATATACTGAAAGTTGTCAAATGGCATCTCGGGTTCAATACTATTGTCGACAACCTCATCTGGCCTATAATAAAAAAAATGATCTGAAAATAATATATTTTTACGTTTCTGAGTCTGCGTATGTCGAACCTTGGATCTCTTGTACAAAGCACCCGCCAAAAAAACACCCGCGCCAACGCTCAGAATAAAAAAATTTAGTAATTACTCAGTCAGGTTTTGTACATGGCCTAGTGATGGATGCATATTGCGCTGAAAATTAAAATTTTACAACCATTACTAACCCAAACACTGACTAGATATTTGCTAGTTTTTATTTTATTTTGAAGCGTTTTAATGTTTTTCTCAAATCTCACATTTTTGCATTAGTAGCGGGTGATTTTTACGTTCCTGCATCTGCGTATGTCGATTCTTTTTCAGAATGAAAGTACCATATTAACTTATTTTATTTTGTATAGAAATATACATTGCCGATGATGGAAGTATATTTGGGATTGAGATAAGTCCTGGTAGAACGATGATGTATAACGCAACTGATGCTAAATGTACAAAACATAATATGGTCGTTGCTAATATAAAAAACGAACAAGAATATGATGTAATTGTAAAGATTTTACGAGCAAGGATACCGAAAGGAAAGTTCAATGTATATATTTGGATTGGAACGACTATCGATTTAACGGTGTGAAATATTATTTTTTGTCATTGAGAAATTTATTTAGGTATGCTTTTGCCTTCTATATGTTTGTCTATAAATCGTTCATTAAGAATGGAGGAAAATTCAGTATTACTCGGAGATGACCCTATTTTAAAAAATATTATTACATTCCTTTATTGCAGCGGTTCTCAACCGGGGGCCCTCGGCCCCCTAAGGGGGCCACAGAGGAGTTGGAGGGGGCCACAGGGATGGGCTGAAATCTGAATTTACTTTTCACTTTAAAAGAAATCTTACAGTTTTTCCAAGTTTGCTGCTCAACAAGGTTGTTTCGCAGGGTGTTTTCGCTCTCTTTTGTGCAAATTGTTTTAACATAATGGGATTTGGAATCTATCAATGAAAATAACCCTATTAATACCTCTGGAATATTAAAGTGGGGGCCATGAGTGCTAAAAGTCTCCGAAAGGGGGCCACGAGTCATAAAAGGTTGAGAACCACTGCTTTATTGGAACTCAAGTTTATATTAGAAGATTTTAATCAAATTTCAAGTGCGGCAGAATTTTCCACATTTTGTTTTGTTGTCAATTACAGTTTTTATATTGATTGACATGAAACGAACATTCAAACATCTTTGAATTTCATACGGGGTATAAAATGGACGAAACTGATTTTCATCCATAATTAATAAATATTTTTAACTCGATAACTGGCTCATAGTAGTACCATCTTGTTTCTGGGAAACTTTAAACCAGTGATCGGCAAACTTCATTTTTTAGTGGGTCTAATATACACATTTCCGAAAGCGTGCGGGCTGCTCCAGAAGTATGCGCTCCAAGATGTCGCACAACCTGAATCCTAACCGGTACACACATACTATGTTCAGGTTGTGCGCCATCTTGGTGCGCATACTTCTGGAGGTCCAATTTTCGCTTACAAACAATCGCCACATATTAACTTCAAATTGCGGCGCACTCGCTACTTCTATTCCTGCAGGAAGCATGCCACATGATGTGTTGACAACATAAATCAGTGTGCAGACGATCAATCCCTGTGACATATTGCATATCGTACTACTTCATTTTGGCTTTCGTGTCCAAATAATTGAGCATTGCTTTCATGTTGGATAGTTTTGTTATTATTTAATTAATATTTTTAATTTGGTATTACTGATATAAAATTATTTTAGTTTATTTCAGTTCACCAGACGAACACGCAAGCGATGAACAACATTCAGAGTGCATTTGATGAGGGGCAAACAAAGTTGAATGTGTTGAAAACTACTATAAATCGTATGAAATCTGTTGTGAATTCTTTTTCCTCAGGTAAACTAACTTATACACGTTTGATGTTTTTGAATTAGCTTATCGTGCAGTATAAGGCGTCAGCGTGCCACGGTTTGAAATTTAGATTGAACTGATTCTGAAATAGATTTTCATCATGCAATATTCGGTAGGACTCCTGAAGTGTGTGAATCAAGATGGCGGACACCGGAACGTAGTATGTGTACCAGGTTACGATTAGGCCATAATTTTGAGTACAAATACTACGGGAGTCACTTGGCTAGTCCCCTAACTCGTAATAGAACTGAAGTAGGGAAAATTGAAATAAAATTATGGCCTAAACCTAACCTGGTACACATACTACTTTCCGGTGTACGCCATCTTGGTTCATCAATCAATGTAATTGTAAAGTATATAATAAAACTAACCTCATAGCAATTCATGAAAGGGTCGCGTAAAAGTCATCCAGTCAGAGACACCTTGTTTGCTTAATTCAAGTAGCAAAAATAGGGAAGAAACAATTTTATGAGAAATTAACTTAAAATACACAATTATGAGAAGAACGAAAGAATTCTTGAAAACCTAATTATTGTGTTCAACTGCTTGGTAGCGTTAAAGTTAACCTTCAAAGTTGCGATGCAATGTTATTAGTTTCAAACTTATTTCTTACCTTAAGAATCATAATATGCATTATCAGGTATAAACTTAGTATGCTATATTCAAAGTTACAGAACCCAGTTTGATTCTGATCTCATATCCTCGAAAACGAAGAATTTTGTCTAAAGCGGCGTTTCCCAACCTTTTTTGTTCGCGGATTATTTTCTCACCGGCAAACCAGAAAGTACAACTTGATTTAGTACTTATTAAAAATATATTTAAAGTTTAATAGTAAATTAAAAATACAATCATCGCCTTGCTTTATCATTTATTTAATTGTGATCATTTTAATCTGCGGTTGTGTTGACGAAGTAAAAGCAATACTACTCAGAAAATATCGTGACAATCCGCGGACACAATGCGATTACATTTTGTTTTAATTCGTCGTTTTTGTGAATTCGACAAATCTGAGTTGTTCGTACAACACTTACGGCGCTCCAGCACTGTACGTACTAATGTGAAGGCGGTAATGCAAAGAATCCTAAGGGAAAATGCACTGGTACGTATACTTTGGTGGCACCCGAAATTTTGCGATTCGCAATGTCGAAAAAGGCGTTTTAAATCGGTCGCGTACAATCATAAAACAAAACTTATGCTATTCTCCGTTTTATGTTCCGGGTCGAACCCCCCCCCCCCTTTTGAAATGTGTAAAAATGACGACTAATAGGCGCGACTTGCCACGCGCCGAATAAGCGCATAAAACGTCATGGCTCCGGATGCCGTCAAGTAGAAGCGACGTGGTTGTGACTGAATAAGGCGATTTATGGACCTTTCCCCGACCTTTGACCCCCGTAAATTTCTTCCTATACTTTACCATCGCAAAATTTTCGGTGCTTATTTAAAGAGTGGTTTTGCGAGTTGGCGCCTGTAAAATGGGGTATTTTGCTTCGAACCATTATTCTGATTCATAGCATTCAACAATCTGTTTTTTAAAAGTACCGGTGAAGAATTTTAGCCTAGTCTATTGCAGCTCTTTCTACACTATTTTTTTTTATTACTGCAGTTAAACTGAAACTTCTAAAAAGACAAAGTGATCATTGAATTATTTGATTTATATTTAAATATCCGAAACAGAACTAGAAATTAACGAATAGATTTCAAAAACGCGCAAAACGAGGTAATGTTTACGACGACGCCTGAAAATCAGTCTGAGCGAGGAAAGTGTCTGAGCGGATGCGAAATCACGTCACTCTTTGCATCTTGCTGATTGGCCAATGTCCCGAAGTAAACAAGGAAGTCGATGCTCGGGGAAACATCCATTCAGTCCGCAATTTCCATTTGATGCCCTTAATCCTGACATATTCAGTTTCGATTTCTAGAAAACATTCTGTATCACACTAGCAATTTTTAGAACATCAGTTCTCTTAGAAACTTGCGTTTTGCGGCCTCCGGCCAGACCACCTGATGCTGTCGAACTTGGCAATCACAAATTTCGGCGCTTCGAAAGTATTCGTACCAAGATGACGCACAACCTGAACCCTAACCGGGGACACATACTATTTTCAGGTTGTGCGACATTTCGTACACACCTAAATTTCGGACACCTCCCTTTGAAAATTCCTGACTACGCCCCTGCTGTGCAGACTCGTGTTTTCGTCGAAAATCCGCCAAGCTGAAATCCAATCGTTTGATTAAGCGACGCGCGAGTGACCTGTCCGCCACTTGTTACCAATTTTCGAATAGTAATTTCTATTCTATATGTAGAATATTCGAAATATTTGCCCGCACTACTCAGTAACCATTAATTATTGACTCAATTAATGATATGTGAATAAAACTTGCTCTTTATGTTTTGGTGTAAGTTCTAACGTGAATCGTAACTTGGGCTGATAGATAAGTTTCGCAAAAAACGTTTGCGGCCCGCCAGTGAATTTCTGGCTCGTTGCGGACTCATTCAAACCGCTCCGCGGACTCATTTGAGACCGCGGACTCGGGTTGGGAAACACTGGTCTAAAGTAATTTCAAAATATGATTACATGATTATCCATGTTTTGTATGTGCTTTAATATTTTCATATTACGGGTGTGCTACATATACTGAAAGTTGTCAAATGGCATCTCGGGTTCAATACTATTGTCCGACAACCTCATCTGGCCTATAATAAAAAAAATGATCTGAAAATAATATATTTTTACGTTTCTGAGTCTGCGTAATGTCGAACCTTGATCTCTTGTACAAAGCACCCGCCAAAAAAACACCCGCGCCAACGCTCAGAATAAAAAAATTTAGTAATTACTCAGTCAGGTTTTGTACATGGCCTAGTGATGGATGCATATTGCGCTGAAAATTAAAATTTCACAACATTACTAACCCAAACACCTACTAGATATTTGCTAGTTTTTATTTATTTTGAAAGCGTTTTTAATGTTTTTTCTCAATCTCACATTTTTTGCATTAGTAGCTGGGTGATTTTTACGTTTCTGCATCTGCGTTATGTCCCGATTCTTTTTCAGAATGAAAGTACCATATTAACTTATTTTAATTTTGTATAGAAATATACATTGCCGATGATGGAAGTATATTTGGGATTGAGATAAGTCCTGGTTAGAACGATGATGTATAACGCAACTGATGCTAAGTGTACAAAAACATAATATGGTCGTTGCTAATATAAAAAACGAACAAGAATATGATGTAATTGTAAAGACTTTACGAGCAAGGATACCGAAAGGAAAGTTCAATGTATATATTTGGATTGGAACGACTATCGATTTAACGGTGTGAAATATTATTTTTTGTCATTGAGAAATTTATTAGGTATGATTTTGGCTTCTATATGTTTGTCTATAAATCGTTCATTAAGAATGGAGAAAATTCAGTATTACTCGAGATGACCCTATTTAAAAAATATTATTACATTCCTTTATTGCAGCGGTTCTCAACCGGGGGCCCTCGGCCCCCTAAGGGGGCCACAGAGGATTGGAGGGGGCCACAAGGATGGGCTGAAATCTGAATTTACTTTTCACTTTAAAAGAAATCTTACAGTTTTCCAAGTTTGCTTGCTCAACAAGGTTATTTCGCAGGGTGTTTTCGCTCTCTTTTGTGCAAATTGTTTTAACATAATGGGATTTGGAATCTATCAATGAAAATAACCCT